CCACAGCGTTACGTTCTCTCCGATTAGAAAACCCGGGCCCTGGCAGGGAGAGGAGGGGCGCGTGGAGACCGCCCTGGCTGCCCACCCGGTGCAAGCGCGCTGACACCTGATCTGGGCGCGAGCGTTGGAGACGCCCGGGCTTGGGTCGGGGCTCACTGCCTGTGCCTCAGCGACCCTGGCCGCCGGGGGAGTCCTCTCTGCGCCCGCTTCTTCCCCTAGAAAATGGATGTTCCCACTCTGGGGTGGGGGAGGGGTGTTACATAATGCTTAGCACTGGCACCTGGCACTGAGTGAGTCTAGCAAATTGCCAAAGTAAAAAAAGAGAAAGAAAGAAAACCACTGAAAATAATGCTCATGCTGGTGAGGGGTGAAGGGGGAAGACAGCGCCGGCTGCCTGTGTTTCCTGCTTTCTGGAAAGCCATTGGCAAAGCCTCCGAGACACGAAGGTGTTGTGCCCTTTGCCTGGTAACTTGGAGGAATCTAGTCCCAGGAAATAATAGAAAGGGGAGTTCTTCAAACCAGCGGGTCCTTCACAGGAACATCATTTGCAGTGGCTGTCTGGGAAATCACCAACGTTAGAACAACTAAATTAATCATGGTGTCTGCTTTTTTTTTTCTTCAAATTTTTTATTTATTAATTTGAGAGAGAAAGAGAGAGAGAGAGAGAGAGAGAGAGAGAGAGAGAGAAACACTGGTTTGTTGTTCCACCTATTTCTGCATCCCTTGGTTGATCCTTGTGTGTGCCCTGTCTGGGAATGGAACCCACAGCCTTGGTGTATTGGGATGAAGCTCTAACCAACTGAACCACCGGACCAGGGCATGGCATCTGCTTCTTAAGGAAGAGCATGCAGCCACCAGACTTTGTGTTTTCAAAGGCTACTTAAACACTCCCAATACGATGTGAAGTGAACTCAATAGGTGACAAAACCACATACACATTATGATCCCGGTTTGGAAAAAATAAATTATTGTCTAGTGAACTTGCGGGTGTTTTTTCCCTTTCTCTCCCCCGCCCCCTAATTTGCTGTGATTGGTTTGAATGACTCATGAGGAAGGAGGGAGCGTTTTCAAGAATGCATGTGACCCTGTGCCGCCTCCTTGAAGACCAGACGGGATAGGGGATAGGAAAGCTCTGGGGACAGTTTGGGGCTAGACGCGTGTTGTAATGAATCCCATTGCAGGCAAAGGCCCCACTGGAAGGGATATGTTTGCGGGGGGGAAACGAGAGGCCCCACCTCTGTGCATCCCAAGTGAAGTCTGAGGAGACAGCATCAGCCCGAAGCCTCTTCCTTGCCTCTCATTTGAGACACATCTTTATCAGGAAATAAGCCCTGCTCGTGGGGATCTATGTCCAGACCTACTCTGCTCCAGGAGTCCGCCTGTCTCCACGATGGCACGTAGTGTGACTATTACAGTTTGGGAATATATCTTAATGCTTGACAACACGAGCCCCTGACATTATTATGCTTTATAAAGAATGTCTTGCCAATTCTCAATCTTGTACTTTTTTTTCAGATAAACTATAGAATGATTGTGTCCATCTTCTCCTCCCCCCTCAGACTTTCTGCTGGTGGGACGGGAAGTGTGTTTTGGGTGGAGAAGAGCTGGCACCGTCCCCCTGAGTATCCCCGTTTGAGGGCGGGGTGAATGTCTCCATCGATTGGAGCCTCGGGTGGCATTAGCGTTTCCCCAGTTTCCTCATCGAGCACCTGCCCGGGGTGGTGGCTATTGTCACTGTTTCCCCACTTCCCAACCGGCTCTTGATCACGGTGTCATTGTCACCTGCCACCTCCTTACCTGGCATTACATCTGCCCTTGCGAGTGGCACGTGCCCGGGTGGCAGGAAGCAGCTGCTGACTGGGCCCGTGTCCTTGGGACCCAGCTCAGAGCGCCTCACATCGCGGTTGCCTGGGGAAGGTCGGTTACATGAGTGAGCGAAGGAATGAAGGGATGACTCTAGACCAGCCGTGGGCCGGATCCGGCCAGTTTGAAATGAATAAAACTAAAATAAAAAAAAAACGTACCCTTTTATGTAATGATGTTTACTTTGAATTTATATTGGTTCACACAAACACTCCATCCATGCTTTTGTTCCGGCCCTCCGGTCCAGTTTAAGAACCCATTGTGGCCCTCGAGTCAAAAAGTTTGCCCACCCTTGCTCTTGACTCACTCCTCATCGCCCTCTTTGTGCCTCGGTTTCCTCATCTGTCAAAAGGAGCTGAGAAGAACTCCTCCCTCCTGAGGGTGGGTCTCCCAGGCAGGAACCGGGCCAGGAGGAAGGGCCCAGCCAACCTGCCTGTTGTTAACCTGCCAGCACCATTGATGGTAAAGCTGCAGGGGCTCCAGAGAGAATTCCCCCCTTGGGCGCTCACAGGAGACTCCAAGCCATTGTGACCCATTGAGTTCACGGCCCCCGGGGCCCAGCTGCTCGGTGCTTGGAGAGACTGCCTGCAATCCTTCAGGCCTCACCCACAGCTCAGGGGAACGAGGCCAGGGTGCATCTCAGGGTCACTTCCTTTCTGATTCCCAGCTTTGCTTATGCTGGTTCCTCTGCCCAGAACATCAGCCTCTTTACACCCCACCATGGCATTTTATTCATCGATTCTTCCAACTCAACACAACCATTCTGAGCAGAGGAGGGAGAAACAGTGAGAAACTACGCAGCCGTGAACGAGGAACGGGGCCGTTCTAGCTGTTCTTCAGCTGCGGAAAGAGCTGCGCGCAGCGAGGCAGGCAGAGCGCCTCCCGCGGTGCCGCGCACAGGAGTCTGCTGGGCACTGGGTTCTCCTTAGATCCAGGTTGTGACCCAGCAGGTCACGGTGGGGCCTGTCCTCCTACGTTTCCGACAGACTCGGGGCTGCTGGTGTGACATCAGTGGTGCAGCAGTACAGGGAATGTGATGTGATCCCGCTTCTGTAAAAAATGCATTCATGTGAAAAAAAAACAGAGAAGAAACACTGAACTATAGTAGTGGTTACTTCTGGGTGGGAGGACGGTCAGAAGCTTTCAAACACTGTAAAGCCTGATTTTTACAAGAAGCTTCACTATCCTCATTAGGAAAAACAGCCCAGCCATGATGGCACCCCCTAGGCAGGCATTTGCAAACTGCGCCCCCTCCCCAAATGAACGGCTCTACCCCACGGAGCATAGTAACGGGCTGGCTGGGAGCGGCTGCTCAGGATGTGCATTGTGCGTAGCCGATGCCCCAGCTGGCCGGAGGGCTGTCATCACTGGCGTCCTCAAAGCAGCGGTGTAATGAGCCTCCTCAGCGCCAGGCCAGGGTCATGCCCTTCACAGACACTCAGATCTATCCTTATCCCCATTACCCAGAGTAGATAACTGAGGCTTAGAGACCTGGAGGGACTGCACCATACAGCTTGTGTAAGACCCAGGCCAGGCTCCTGGGGGAGGGCCTGCTTATTCCCTCTGCCTGCCTAGAAAAATCTCTCCCCTGCCTGCCCACGTGTGTCACTTGCTTATTTCCTCAGGCCTCTGCTCAAACTTTACCTCACCAATAAAACTATTTAAAAAAACAACTTTTACCTTACCAGAGGCCTCCTCTGACCATCTGATCACACAATAGCAACACGACTGCTCCCAACCTCCCCCAGCTTCCTGCTTCCCAAAGCACTCAGCACCATGTGACAAAGTCATATTCATTAGCTTATTTGTTTTGTTTCTCTTTTTCCACTCGTCTAGAAGCCACATGTGAGTAAGGATTTCTTGTCCATTTTGCTCCCTGCTTTATCTCTGGCATCCAGTATAGTGCCTGGCTCAATAAAAATGTATTAAATGGATGAATAAATGATACTTCGATTCACAGGCCACTGCTCTCCCCACTTTGTCCCCGCCCTATCTATAATAATAAAAGCATAATATGCTAATTAGACCAGACAGCCAAACGACCTTCTGGACGTCCTTCCAGACGAAGCCGAAGCTGGGATGGCAAGAGCCGAGGCAGCCACCGTGGCTGCGAGGGTCGAGCCCCTTGCACGAATTTCGTGCATCAGGCCTCTAGTTTATGCATAGGAAAGGTCCACTGACCCCCAACAGCACAGGGTAGGCTGGCCTCCCTTTCCTAGCCTCCTTGTAGGGAGTCCAAATTAGGTTCCTCAAATGCAGAGGTGATGGCTAGGCCTGGGGCCCCGTGACCTCGTTGTGTGAAAGGAATAAACAGGTAGGGTTGTAAGAGTCCCTGATTCAAATCCCACTGTCTTACCACCATGATGATGAGTTGGGGCAAAATCTACTCCTCTCAGGACAGGAAGTCCCAACCCTCCCGAGAATGGCCTTCTAAGTGGAGGGGCCTCTGCATCCTGCTGATCCTTCAGCCTGGCCTGCTCTCCCCCGATCTGCCTGTAGCTGTGTCTTCTCATTTAGGTCTCTTCTCAAAAGTCACCTCCTCCGAGAACACCCCCCCCAAACACTCCTCCCAGGCTGACGTGGACTTTGTGCACCCACACGGGTACCTCTTTTCACAGCCTCTTTCTTTCCTCCATGGCTCTTAGGATAAACTATCTTCACTTTTACTCTTTCATTTACCTGTTTGGTCATTTACTGCCTGCCTGCCACCTGGATGTGAGATTGAGGACAGTCTTGTTCACGGCTGTACCTCCAGGGCCCAGGACAGGCCTGGCTTACAGTAGGTGCTCAGGAGACTGTGACCTTGGAGGAGGCCCATCCTCTCCCCAAGCCTCAGTTTCCCCATCTGTAAGATGGAGTGAGGCAGTCATGACTCCTGTCCAAGAGGCCCGGTACTTGGCGTGAGACCCTCGCCCATTCCCAGAAATGGTATCTTTGGTGCAGCATCCGCGCCCCCAGACGCTAGACAGGCGCCCCGAAACCCGCAGAAGGAGAAAACTACAATCCCCACAGTGCCGCTGACGGCGCCTGCGCACGGCCGCCCGCCTGCACCGCCGCGGGCGCCCTCTGGCGGCAGATCGCTGCAGCGCTCCGCTGCGCTCCCGGAGGGGCGGGGGGCAGCGGCGCAGGCAGTCGGAGCGCGCGGCTGCGGCGGCGGAGCCAGAGCCGGGAGCGGGAGCCGCGGCCGGATCGCAGCCCGCGGGGCCCGCCGCCGCCATGGGTAACCGTGGCATGGAAGATCTCATCCCGCTGGTCAACCGGCTGCAGGACGCCTTCTCCGCCATCGGCCAGAACGCTGACTCGACTGCCGCCGTGGTGGGCGGCCAGAGCGCGGGCAGCAGAGCTCGTGCTGAGATTTCGTGGGCAGGTAGGAGCGCCGCGCCTGCGGGCTCAGACACCTGAGTCCCCTGGCCCTCCGCCCCCGTCCCTGACGGCGCCACGACCTCGAAGCCCCTGGCGCTGCACCCGCGGACCGCGCGCCCCCCACCTCCAGCCAGAGGGAGGCGGCCCTCACCCTCCGCAGGGGTCCCTCAGGGGAGGCAGCGCCCCCAGCTTGTCCGACCCGGGGTCAGCCCATCGCCGCGGTATCACGCCCCCTCCTCCGCCCATCCTTTAGGGAGGACGGCGCTCCGCCAGGGAACCCTTGCACAGGGCTGCTCGCCCCCCCCCCTCGCCCATGGACACTGAGGGGCCTGCATTACTCAGCGCCTCCCTTCCACTCCGGGAGTCCCTTGGAGGGGCAGCACCCCCGGACAGTGCCCCCCACCCCTAGGCTCCATGGAGGACAGCTCCCTCCCACCATGGGGACTCCTGGGCCGGGGCAGGGGACACCCGTCACAGCCCCCTGGAGAGGACATAGCCCCGTGGGCATCGCGGACCAGGCACAGCCTCCCTCCCTCCCTCCCTCACACACACACACACCTCTGCGGCTCCGGCCTCCATCCGTGCGCAGCGTTGGTGGCGGCGGGGGGAGCGCGGGCTGCAGGATGAGGAAGGGAAGGGGGGGGGGAACCGCTTCTGATGCTTTTCTGACCAGCAGGGCCCTTGCTCACCGCCGCCCCTGGGTGGAGGGCGCCTGTCAGTGTGTTCTCCCCTTGGCCTGGCAGGGATGGTAATGGAGGGAGAAGGCGGAGGACAGAGATGACTAAGACAGGGAAGCAGGGTGCCGGGGAGGGGGGAGCCATTTGCAGAACCTAATCCCCCTCCTGACTCTGAGCTCAGGAGGCGCTGGGAGGGCCAGGTGGCTGGGAGTCGGGGCCACCGCAAAGACAGAAGGTCCTGGGTTTGGAGGGGTGCAGGGTCATGACCCTAGACTCCCCCAAGAAGGAGGAGGCAGAGATGGCTTTGCGGGTGCTGAGAAGGAAAGAGAGAGGGTGACGCTCTCCCCAGTGCTGGAGAGCTGGATGTGGGGCTGGGCTCCCTGAGGGAGAAGGCACGAGAATTGATCTTGACCTCCCTCCCTCCCTCCCTCCCTCCCTCCCCTTCAGAAACCCAAGCTTCCTTCCAATGACCTTCATGGCCAAGGAAGAGATGGCCTGTGGGAGAGGGAGGCAGGGGCCCCTCCCTCCATCTGGGGAGAGACATCTTGGGTCCAAGCCAGGTTCTGCTGTGAAACCTCAGGCCAGTCACTTGCCCTCTCTGCGCCTGCCTCAGTTTTCCATCCCTAACGTGGCCAGTTGGACTGGATGGTGGTTCCTTCCTCTCCAGTGAGTGACCGGGGAAGCGCAGTGCCCACTGTGAGGGACAGAGAGAAGGGCCCCGACCAGCGCAGTGTATCTGTGGGATGCTGGAGAGCCACCGTGGGGGTGGCTGGGCCCATCTGGTCAGCAGAGGGGGCGGCCGTCTGTCTCTTGGGGATCAGCTTCCCAAGAACCCTCCTCCTGCTCACGTGACCCTAAGAGCTGCAGAGACACAGGCAAGGGACACACAGATGGGCTACTGCCCGTGGCCAAGCAGTCAGAGTGGGGGGCCAGGGAACCCTGAGACAGTAAAGCCCTGAGGCCTTCGTGCATGAAATGACACTCACGGATATCCAGCCCTCTGCCGTGTTCAAGCCACATCCCTGCCTTCCATCCACTGAATGTTTGCCCAGCGCCTGCTCTGTGCCAGGCCGTGGGCTCTGGGCAGGGGCTATGGAGGGGAAGGGCTCAGCTCCCACCTACTCGCCCTTCCCATGTGCCCACACCATGCTGCACAGGATGGCTCACACAGCCCCACGAGGCAGGTGCCACGGTGCCCATTCTGCAGATGAAGAAACTGAGACCCTGAGGCTAGGTGCCTTGCCCAAGGTCACACTGCAGGAAGGACAGTGCCCATTAGACTACAGAGCCCAGTTGCTAGTGTTGGCCCTGCACAGCCTCAGAGAGCCAAGCCCTGCACTGGGCACAGGCTGTGCAAGTGTGGGCCTCCGTTTTCCCCATCTGTAGGATGGGGACACTGACAGCTGCTCTGCCGCCCACCTTCCTGAGATGGTGGCTGCGGGGCTGCCGTGAGTCCATGTGTGTAAAGGCCTTTTGTAAACACATCAGAGTGGGGTGCTGATCCTCAGGTAGGTTTGGGTGCCTGAGTGCTAGGGCAGACCCAACCGCCACCCTCTCAGAGTTCACTGTCCAGCAGAGAGAGGTGCCAGCACTTGGCAGCACAGCAGGCCAGCCTGGCCACCGCGGTTTACTGGTGCAGTGGGGGCCCCCTCGCTGCCCTCCGCGCCCCAATGCCCTTTGAAGACGGTCGTGCCGGAGGATGCACAGGTGTTCAGATGCAGGCGCAGGTAGAGCAGATGGGAAACCGAGGTTCCGCGGAGCCCCCAGTCAGCCCGGCCTGCTCCCTCATGGGCTCCTTGCCTTTCCAGGGCTGGGTCCCCAGACCCGTCAGCATGGTAACAGCAGCTCTGCCTCCTGGGGCTCCCCAGGGGTCAACCCCCCACGGAGAGGAAGTGGAAAGCGCATCGGAGGAAGCAGAGGCTCCTGGCAGGAGGAGGACCCTGCTGTCAGCTCTGTAATGGAGGTGGCCCGGCAGCCGCCCGGGGCCCTGCTCGGACTTGTCTGGGTGTTTCTGTGCTATTTCCTCATCCCTTTTTACCGAAGGGAAAACTGAGGCTGATTTGCTCAGTCACGCAGCCGACATTCATGGAGTGTCCACAGGGCTCCCTGCTGGGGTCCTATGCACACGGCTCCCTGCTGGGATCCTATGGCAGAGAAGACAAAAGTCTGCATTCCAGACAGGAAGCTGAAGTCGTGGGCACGGAAGCATGTCCGTGACGACTGGAGAATGTGGTCAGCGCTGGGGAGGGAAGAAGGGCCGCTGTCCCCGGGGAATCAGACAAGGTCTCCAGGAGGGGATGGCATCTGGAATGTGCCCTGAGGGACGAGTAGCATGTGGCTAACCCGGGAGAAGCATTCTCTGCTGAGGGATCAGCACATGCAAAGACCCTGGGGCAGGGATAAATGCGGTGTGTCTGAAGAACAGAAAGGAGCCAGGCTGGTGTTTGGTGAGCACAGAGGACGGCCTCAGAGAGGAGGCAGGGGCTAGATCTCCGAGGCCCTTAGACTGTGGTGAGGAGTTGGGTTTGTTTTCATTATTACCAGAAGCTTTTAAGTAGAGTAACTTGAGCTGATTCCAGCAAGTGTGTGACTTGGGGAGGGGGCAGCAGAGGGGCGGGAGACAGATGAGGAGGCTGCTGCAGTGGCAAGAGGTGCCGGGGCCTGGACCAGGCTTTGGCAGTGGAGAGGGGGAAGGTGGGGTTCAGGACATATCCTGATTATGGGTGGGATGTGGAGGGTGAGGAAAAGGGATCAAAGATGACTTCGGCGTCGTGGGCCCTGGGTGGGTGTTGGTGCCATGAACGGGGTACAGGGGGAGCAGGTTTGGGAGCGGGGTATGAGCAGGAGTCTGGTTTTGAACATGTTGAGTCTGAGGTGTGGGGTAGGCAGTGTGGGAATGCAAGTCGGAGCTCAGGGAGGAGGGGGCTGGGAATATAAATTTGGAAGCCATTCTTGTCGAGTAGATGAGCTCATCTTGAGGATATTCAGACGGAGGAGTGTGCGTGGGCCCCCAGACACCCCAGCATTTCATGAACAGATGCCCGTGCAGCGCCAAGAGTGGGGTGTCCTGGACAGACTTCCGGGCTACAGCGCCCAGGTCTCTCTCACTCTGGTGCCCAGGCAGGTCGACAAATGGGTAGGACCCACCCTCCCTGCCCACTTGGCTCCTGGGGAGACCAAGACCGTGGGACTGTGGCAGAGGGGCCGGGGGCTCAGGCTCTGGAATCAGACCGGGGTTTGCAGCTCAGCTCTCCACTTGCAAGCTGAGCCCACTCAGCCGCTATGTTCTCATCTGTAAAATGGGGATAGTCTAGCAGCTCCCCCACGGGATTGTGGGGAGTGTTGGGATAGTGCCCAGGAAGTGCTCCCGGGAAGACCTGGCTGAGAGGAGGTGCCAGTTCTGTTCCTGCCTGGGCATAGGTGCAGGCAGTGGGGGGGCCAGAGTGGGGGTGGGGATCTCCATCCAGGGTGTGTGGCAGGGGCCTGGGGAGGGAGCCTCTGCCTAGAGCCCAAGCAGCAGCCTGGGAGGCAAGGTTTTGGGCTTCCTGGTGACTCTGCGAGCCCTGCTCAGGTGCCGCCTCTTACCAATGCCCTTGCCCCTTCCTCCACATCTTCATCCCATCTCAGCCCGGCACTGTCTCTGGCTTCTGAGAGCCCCTGTCTTGGTTAGCCCAGCCCTTCCCACTGGGGACAGCCCATCCTCACTACTTTGAAATACACCTTAGTGGTCCCATTTTTCAGATTTGGAGACTGAGGCCAAAGAGAAATGGGGGGATAACTGAAACATCATAGGTAGATCAGTGGTTCTCAACCTTCTGGCCCTTTAAATACAGTTCCTCATGTTGTGACCCAACCATAAAATTATTTTCGTTGCTACTTCATAACTGTCATGTTGCTACTGTTATGAATCACAATGTAAATATCTGATATGCAGGATGGTCTTAGGCGACCCCTGTGAAAGGGGTCTCGACCCACAGGTTGAGAACCGCTGAGGTAGATAGTCACTGACCGTAGGGGGCAGAGGGAACTGTCGTCTCCTTGGCACTTGCAGCATGCCAGGCCCTCAGGGCACAGCTCTGAGCAAGCCCAACCATCCCTGCCCTCGGGGGCTCACAGCCAAGCAGGACAGACAAACCCTAAAGCACACGGAGAGCCCTGGTGGGTGTTTGAAGAAGGGCGTGAGGAGCCTGGTATTGAAGGAGGGGAGTCCTCAGGGGGCCAGAGAAGGCATCTGACATTGAAGTCTGGGCCTTAGCAAAAATTAGGCCTTGGTTAGGCAAAGGAGTGACCACAC